GTGAGACATCAAACCTGATTAGGCTCAAACACAGAGGCAGTGCTCGTGTTCCCCGTCCAACCTGCGCACTCTGCGGTCTCTGCTGGGCGTTGCCAGTCCRGCATGTCCCAGCAGGCGCCCCTGAAAACCCTGGGTAGGAAATCCAACATGCTGCCAAAACACACGGGCTGTCTAAATATTTAGAGACCCAGGCTTCGTCTCCACGCTCAAGTGACTCCCTGTGACGGGGTGCGGGTTGTGTGGGGCTCCCTGCCAGCAGGAGGGAGGGAGGGTGGGGAGCCGGTGCTCATGGCAGTGCTTCCCCCTAATTTGGATTGAGCTGGCTTTTGGAGGAACTGCAGCCAGTCTGATCACACAGATGCAGCTCCCTCACTGGATCCCTTGCACTGAGTAGTTCTAAACAGCTTACAGATCCATGATTGATTGTTGTCCTTAGGTCTCCCATATGCCCTCAGTCAATTGGCATCTTGCCTCTGCTTCATCTTTCATCATTTTTTTCAGCCAGTGTTGCTCAGATGCTTGGAGCAGAGTYCTGTTCCCTCAGCTTGTCCAGGGCAGTAACCCTGGCTTTTCAGCTCAGTTTTGATGTGGCACCTTGAAGAATTGTTGCCTGAGAAAGCAATTTCTCTKTATTATTTTGGTTTATCCAAACTGTAAGGAGCTTTGCTTGATATTGGTTTTCCTTTTGCAGAGGTTTGATATCTTTTAGTCTTTTATTTAATTACTCTATTCTGAATTGTTACTCCTGGATGTTAAGGAAAATTATTATCTTAGTAATCCAGTGAGAAAGAAGATGACGAAAAGAATTTAGAGGTATCTAGTGAGATATGAGAGAAAAGTCTTGGGCCAAGATTTAGCAYAGAAGCAAAAAATTCCTTGAAGTTAGTCTCAAAATTTTCCCTAAATACCCATTCAAAGTTTACCTTATTGGACTATGTGGTCTCATTAACTTCAAGTGGACTGTGTGCATGTATGAATATGCAAATATGCATCCAAAGACCGAGACCTCCCAAGATACCAAAGTAACTGGTGTGGCCTTGATAAGCCCTGATCACCCAGCATTTCCCATCAAACTCAAAAGTGGAGGTGCTGCTGGCTGAGCACSCTTGCACAACACTAGCCCAGGTATTTAAATAGGTGAGCGTAGGTTGGTGAGCAGACCTTCAGGCAGCTGCTTTTAAAACGTTGGACCTTGTTGTGCTAAGGTTTTATCCTTGCGGGACTGGAGAGCCCACAGCTCCTAATGGCTTCTTGCAAAATTAGGTTTGGCTTTCCATTTAGCCTTCATGTGACTCTGTGCAGCGCCACTTGGAGCAGGAATTCTTCGTCTTTCCTTTGCAGACTGTCAGAACACTGATTAAGCAGACAAAGGGATTGATTGTTTTTTAATGAAATAGTCTATCTGGCAAAAAATGAAGTCAGGCTCGCTGGAGACTATCCATGCTTTCAGTCGCCTCTTCAGAAATTCATGAATAGTTCCCTCAAGAAAACAACACATTTTTTTAAAAGCTTGAAATGCGTTTTTAAACATTTTGATTTTTCATCCTAAGTAGCATTTTGTTCAAAAAAACCCTGGCTGAATATAATCTTTGTGAAAGTAGTAGAAATTGTTCCATTTTGCCTGGAATGAAATGCCTTGAAACAATGCTGAGTGTTTCTGTATTGGGAGAGGAAATCTTGCCGAGAGTTGGAAAATTTTGTTTCCCAACACTGTGTCTCCCTTCTCAACCTTCTGTTCATCCAGTTAACCAAAAGATCATTTATTCACATAGCTCTGCCTCTAAGTCAAGCAGCTATTAAAAAGTAATCATCCATTTATACCATCATAAAAAAAGTCTAGATTGGAAAATATCTCTAGAGATCATCTGGTCCGACCTTGCATTAAATTATTCTTAGTCGAACTTATGTCAGAACTTGTTTGGCAATCACAGGAACCAGTTACAATTTATCAAGGGTTGCTAATAAGCCAACGTTTTCAAGCCTGAAACCTGTGAAAAAGCCTTTGGGTACCTCATGAGCTAATTTTCCCCTTTTCCAAATGTAGCAATTCTTCATTAAAGAAGTAAAAAGAAAAGCCACCTGCACAGGTAAACACAGTATCCCATTAATGTAGTAATGTGTAAATGGTCCCATTCCACTGTCCTCAGTGAAGACTAGGTCTAGAGGTAGTTTATGCCTTCATGCATCACTCTGTTGAGGTCTGGGTCCTCCAGAACCCAAGGGATCAGTTCTTCAAGTCTTCCTTGCTTTGCTCTATGTTCATAGATGCTTTGCACAGCTGGTGCCGTTTCTGCTCACAGCAAAAACAGACACGGTGCTGAACACAACTGCCATCTTCTGCCACAGGGGAAACATTTCCACAGCATCTTCTCGTGCCCYTCAGCTCTCAGGAACCAGTATGCCATTCACAAGAGATATCTTAGCAAGAATTCTCCCCTTTTTTCCACCTAGGATGCCAGACTTGCTCCCCATGCTGGAAGCTATTTCTCTAGGAAGGTGTGCCCACACACCAAGCACAACAGTGTAGCCTATATAAAATAAATGTTTTAGGCCCTGCACTTCTCCCTTTCCTTTTTCTCTTCCTCTTCCTCTTCTGCAGATGCTAATAAAATACTCTTCCTTTTGGAGTTACCTCTCCTTGCAGCTGTTGGCTGCTCTTCCAGCTCTCAGCCCCCAGGCTTAGGTTGCTTACTCAATGGGGAATGGCATTTGTCAATTCTAATGCTCARTGTTAAACTGTGCAATTTAAAACCAGTTATAACCTTAAGCAAAATTATTTAATCACAGGATTTAGCAGATTACAGGTTGAGAACACTATATAAACATCAGGCTGGGTTTTCAGGCTAAGCACTTGGAGGCAAGGCAGGGAGATGGCATTGCCTTTCTATTATCTTTCCACCTATCGCCCATGTGGTTAATGGCAGCAAATAATAGCCACAGGGGTTACTATCATTTCCTCCACCTGGCAACAGTGTCACAGGCTGTTCCTCYGTCAGCAATTGCCAGAGGGAAGTGCTCTCTAGAAAAATCTCTTCCACCTACTTTTGCGATGTCTTCTTGCACACCTCTGTACTACATATAATGGGAAGTAGTATAAATAGCCAGCTTCATATTCAAGACAGCCTTAAAACCTGTTTCTGGAATCTGGCTATTTGTCTGCACAGAGGGCTCCTCTACAGAACACCCATTACTTGGAGATTAAATAGCAAGTGGAAAGATCCATGAAATTGTAACTTGTCTGCATCTGCCCCCAAAGAACTTAATTCACATATATGTTTGTGCTTTTTCATTTTTTTCTCCTCTCATAATAGAATATCTTCTAGAAAGAAGAATTTGTGAACTGATTCTTATTTGCAAGAAGTTTATTTAAACTTTTTGATATTTTTGTTCAGAGACTTTTTCACTTTTCAAATTTGATGGGGGGGGGGGGCTATTCTTGTGATTCAAAGTGCAAGTCTTCTGCATCCTTTGCTTGTGAGGAAACTGGGGCAGAGCATGAGACCTTCTCTGCTGTCACCCTGCAGACCTTTGATAGAAATAAAAGCTCTGATCCCTAATCCATTCCTCTTTTCGTCAAGCCATTCCATATCTTTCACAGTCCTGTTCTCCATGATGGACAAAGCTCCATATTTTATCATATCAGTAGGCTGTTGTTRAGGGCAAGGCCATTGAATAACTCTTTCTGCTCTTTTTCCTCTATCGTCGGTGAAGTCCTGGTACTATTGTTAAATGTTATAGTGACCCAGGGGAGCTGTCTGACTGTTTACTCAGATTAATCTTCTGATTTTTCAGCCAGCTAATTGGTTTCTATCCCATTTTCTCTTCTGGATTCTATGCTGACTTTTTGCTGATTGCTCCTATCACCTTCACTTCTTTCACATATTGCTTGTGAAATTAAATTAATCTAATAGCAGCCTTGTATTTGCCAAGCTGCATTTTCTTTTTTTTTTTTTTTTTTTTTTTTTTTTTATTTTTCTTAAAATACTGTTTCCTCATGGTTAAATCCAACCAACTCTTTTGCCTTTTTTCTCCTCATCAAACATTAAATTTGCAGAGATTTTCATGATGGCCATCCCAATGGAATGTATGCTAGACAAATGTCCCTGGGAGAAAATTTGGGGTTAGATCTTCAATATCTGTGTCCACCRGTTCCTCAGTTGTCAGACACCTCATCTCAAGGTGAACCAATGTCAGTTTTTCTCTTTTCTCCAGTGGGGTTTAAACCCAAACTACTTTGTAGAGTGTCCTAATGTTCAGGCTGGCTTGGTAAAGTCTCTGCCCAGCAGAGAGCTTCCAGCAAACTGCCATGACAGGAGCRCCGACCTCCAGGAATTATTTCATCTTTGACAGCAGAAGACAAGGGCAATTTCTCATCTTCAGATGGATGATGTATGTCACAAGCAATCCCTGCATACAGGACTACTGTACTTAGCATTTTATTGTGGGCCTGTTAAGCAAATGTTATTCTATTTTAGCATTCAGTCCTTGGCTGATGTTATCAGAAAATGTCTGAATGGCTTACACTAGTTTGAGATTTTTAGTGTTCATCACTGAGATACACAGTTTTGGTCTAGCTAGTGCTGAGAAGGGCCCTGTGGGATGGCACTGTTCACATTGCCACAAGATAGGTAAAATTTCCAGCCTAACCACACAGAGAGAATGCATGTCACATCAAATTAGGACGTAATCTTTCTGTGGTGTCAACTGCACATGCGAGCTGCAGAATCCAGGGATGGATTTTTTGAGCGTACTCCCACTGCATGGCCTATCTTGCAGCTGGTGGCTGCACAGACACCTTTGGACACTGTGATACTCTGTGGTTTTGCAAGGAAGATAAAAGAAAGGCTAATTGTGTTCTCCTGTATGCTGTGCACTTGTAAAAGGCTTGAGGCAGTCTGACCCTAAATATTGACAATTCAAGTTAAAATTGTCTCCAGATGACAAGAAGCATTCATTTTTTTTTTCCCTATTATCCCCAATACACAAATCTTTTTTCAAAA